AGCGGTGATGGTTTGTGTCCAGCTCACATCAGCTCTGAATGTCTCTTTTAATGCACCATGTAACATGTCAAGATGGAAACCAGTGCAACACAAGCTTGACTGATGTAAAATGTTCATCTCACTGAACCATACATGAGCACAGTGAGAAAATAGAACATGGCTCTGTCACATCATGTTATGTCACTTCAAGATCCCTCGTGTTATTAATACGGAGACGCTCGAATAATCCTGCTGCTACTCAAGATAGATACGTCTCTTCAATTCAGTGAATTTAGTTTTAGTGTAGAGCTTTCTGGCAGTGGACTAAATTAGGGGGGTTTAAGACATTATTTACTTCTGGCAACACAGATATATATAAGAGAAAATGAAGATTAAATATATTTTGTTAAACAATTATGGGCACTTTTTAGAGATAGTTTGTCATGTTATATTTCAGTGGTTATGAAAATATCCTGAGAAGAAGAATGTTAAATTTAATGTTACAATGTGTATCTTTGTTCGTCTGCTCCAATGAAAGGCCTCTACTGCCCTCTAGTGGGTTAAATCAGGAGTCCCCAAACTTATTCATGTGAAGGACGGCCGTAATAGATGCATATTAGACCACAAGCCCAGAATTTGAGAGGATTCTGAGTAATTGTTTTTTGTTTATTTTTTAAGGTTTGAAGATAATGAAATCTTCACAGTTGATTAAACAAGGATCACTAAATTACAATTATTCAAAATGACCAACCCTATTTCTTTCAGCTTCCAAAAAATGTGATCGAAGTTAAAAGATTTTATTTATTATTATTATGCACTCAAGCTTTGGTGCGTATTTGTTGTACACCCAAAACAATATCTTATAGCACCGTTTTTAGCACTAACACACACACTGTATTTCCAAGGCCCTGGCTGAATGATTAGCACAGGACACAAAAGCCTAAAAAAGTTGAGCATAAAATGATTTATTTTAGTTTGCTTTTATCAATAAACAGTCAGTTATCAGTGTAGGAGAACAGTTCTAGCATTTGTTGGTGATACTAAGAGCACACAAGAGAATATTTATCATTTCCCTCCCACACAATTCAAAGCTTGGTTGATACAATGTCTTTCACCTATAAGGGACCCTGACCCCCAGTTGAACGTGTGTGTTGTGTTCGTGATGCAGACTATGTTCCAGTATGTGACCAGCCTCATGAAGCAGGGATACCAGGAGGAGAGCAGCCGACAGCGCCACCTAGCGCTCTCCCCAAAGGAGAGACCGGACAAGAGGAACACGGCGCTATGAGATGCTTCAGCTCTCAACCACAACTCAAGACTGTTTTTACCAGTTCAGCACAGTGTGTTTGTGTATATAGTGTATTTACTGTCTCCTTTTCTACATCGCTCATGTTTACCACAGTCATTGTTTTGCTATTTTACCACAAAGGCCAAAAAGAATACATGCAGTGACTTTTAACAAAGCACTTTATTTCTGAACTTAAATTGTGCGGCAGGACTTGACGAGACAATACAAATGCTTGACAAAACATACTGGCTGTAGTTTAACCTGCCTTGTAATTGTGATCAACAGAAATGTCATTATTAGAATTACAGCCGATACTTTGTCTCTGTATTCATAACTCAAACTCAATGCCTTTCAGTAAATCTACAACTTGTAACGTTTTGGGCTTTTTTAACTCATTCAGAACGGGTATTCACATTTCAATCAACCACATTAACTGAAGCCATACAGTACATGGTGTTTAACAATACAACGGCCAGCTCGACAGCTTCGTACAGAACTGTAGTTCAAAACAAGGGGGCATAATGATATTCATTGTACTTCAAAACAAACTAAAAACATAGAATAAAGTTAATTAAAAAAAGTTTAATACTGTAAAATTGGTTAAACGTACATCAAATCTGATCTGATTTAGTTCTGTATTTCTAAGCAACTTAACAGTAATTTCAATGATTTTTAATAATAAAAAACAAAATTCCGATGATTGGAATATTAAATGTTCTTCTCGAGACGCAGTCAAATTTAAACATGGCAGCACAGCTCACGGGTTAGCCGTAGATATAACATAAATAGGGACTCTAACAATTAAATAGTCTGAAAGGCAGATAATCATTGGGCTCCGTGGATTTAGCTCCAGGGGTGCCACAGCTGTTGATGACTTGGCTCCGAAGCAGAAATGGTGGAGATTCAATAAAGTTGACTTGCTTCGTCCTGTGTGAGTTTACGAGAAGTCCTCAGGTTTTCTGTTCCAGATCACCGGATGGCACTGACCAGGCAAAGATGAGATATTACCATGCAAACAATGGCATAATATAAAAGCAGTCACCAGGTGGATGAACAGTGATTCTGAGGCCTCGGGTGAATGGGGAGTGAGCCAGGTGGGGCGACAGACCGAGAGGAGGCCGTTCCCATTCCCTCACATAGTACAGGCCAGTTTAGGTACCCATGGTTATGTTAAAGAGTCTGTTGCTCATTGGGTGGCTTTGGTTTTCTTGCTTTTGCTTTTCTTATCTTTCTTCTTAAGTCCATCCATGTGAGCTCTGAGGAGGTTGGAGTATGCCTGAAAAGAGAGTATTTGATTGAGTTTTAACAGCTCATTCATTGAACACAGATTATTATGAAACAAAAGATGTTGAACAAGTCTGTTAATAACATCAAGGAGAGCCAGTCAAGACAATATGCGTGCAGTGACCCAGGACAACAGCTTCCAATCAACCTACCATTTGAAACTTGATTACTTCTTTGGTGCTGACCTGTAAAGAGCAAGAAACGAGAATTGAGCATTTACAGCAAAAGATCAAGAGATTCAAAATACCAAACACAAAAACAGTAAACTCACCACTGTGCTAATCTTCTTCTTGCCTTCAGACGCTCTGATGAGACATTTGTTGTCTGCTGGATCAAAGGACTCCGTGTGGCCCTTTCGGGGGACTGGCTTGGTCCTCCCGTCATCTGAAAAGAAGAAACATTAAGATGTGGAAAGGGGAAACCTTCCTGACTGTGCCTGATAACGCTGATATTTGTGAAAACTCAAGAGGCATCCACTTACATTTCTTTAGCGTGATGACAACACTGCCAGATGTTCTGCACTTCTGGAACAGCCTTGTGAGCTCTGTGAGGAACTGGACAATAAAGCAAAAAGAAATATGAATGAATGTTTATTAATTAATTAACAGTCCTGGAGAAATTATCAATAACTGCCAGTACAGGTACATCTAGACTAAACTATTGCAATCTTGTTTCAAACTGTTAAAGGAGGGCCATTTTGGAAGTTTGTAGTGTTGAATTGTACTGTTTCATATTTAAAAAGGTGTTTTTTTATTTTTAGCCTCCCCTTATTAATATAAACGAGGAGAGGACATTTTAGACACATTGCATCGTGTTGTACAAACCTTTAGTCATCTAACGTTAATAAACAAGTGTGTATGGGTTGCTAAAAGGACCTGATGGGTAACAGATATTCCGACTAACTACATTAAAAAGCCACAGGTTTACTTTAATCTGCCTCAGTTAGTTCTGTCTTAATATTTAGTTACAAAGTGCTAACTTTGGTTTCAACGTTGCAAGTTTGACTATATGTTTTACTATATTAACTTTAGCGTTAAGCGAGACACTCAACCAGTCATACAGGGCTCCGTACAAGTCTTAACATGTTAGAAAATATAACAACATAAATACACAACGACATATTTTCCCAGCTGAACGCAAAACCAGTGTTAGCTTCAACCTAACGTTAGCCTGTTAGCCTGTTAGCTCCAGACAGCTAACGTTACAGCAGACTGAGTGTTTCTAGTTTGTAATTAAAAACCGTCAAGAAATGAAGTTATTCACAGTTTGCTTTCTGTTCTTACCGCGTCGTTTTCAAGCAGCACCATGATTGTGACTTCAGTTCAGCTGTAGTGTTAGCTCACTGGCTACAAGCTAACTGCTGTGAAGCACACGTACTACACTAGCCGGAGCCCCGCCCTGCAGCCTCTCTGTGGGGGAGGCGGGTTTATCACAGCGCCCCCTACCGGCAGGGCGGGGAACGACACACAGAGCACACTTAGTCATGAAGCCGAAAGAAGTTTGGAAGGAAACATCTGATCTATTCCAATGATTTGGAGTTAATTTACCATTAGAAATATAGTCACAACACTTTCATCAACTGGAAACGGCTGAGACTTAAAATGATCATCCAACCAGAAAAGGTTGAATCAGGCTATTGCAGTGATTATGGCTATAACTGCAGCTGGGATTTTAAAAGAAATCCTTATTTATTTATAGAAATAAGCTTTATTTCTTAACAGTATCAAACAAGACGCATATACATACTTTAATTATTGCTCTCTGCCAACAGTAATTAATTACACGACTAGTAATATTACTTTTCTGCTACTCTCCACAAAGTTGTGTCCCTTTCCCCCAAAATTCAGACTTGCGACAATTAAAATCCAGTTTTGTGTATTAAAATCAAAGTAATGTAATGTAATGTAATCTTCCAAGCTAGTTTCCTCTACAATTAGAAAACATTATTCAAGAATGTGATTGGATTGCTGGAAGTAGGGGGTGACAACAAAAGAAAGATAGTAAGAAATAATAATTGTTTGGGGTGGTTACTGTAATATTATTACTGAAATGTGTAAGTAATTAGTTACACTACTAGTTACTGGAGAAAGTAATATAATTACTGTAATATTATTACTAGAAATTAGTTACTGCCCAACACTGGTGCAGTGAATTGCCACGGTTGTAACCATTCCTAACCTCCATGGTGTACAGTCCCATTACATCTGTGCTCTCTGATCGGAGTACCAGGTTAAAGTCCTCTGGTTTCACAAGGCTGTCTCGGTCAACGTTACTAATTTATGGCGCTGTAAAGATTAACCACAGTCACAACAACCACTGTTACTGATGTAATCACTTGCTGAAATAGTCACAAATAGTGTTTCACAATTCAACACGTATCCAGGGACAGCAAAGGGGTCGACAGCCAGTGACTGACTCTGAACACACAATTTATTTAGTTTACAAAATCTCATGGATATTGACATATATTTAATATTAATGATACAGCATATACAGTATTCTTGCATTCAACAATTAGTTCCACAATAAACACCCACTAAATCTTCTAAAAACATAAATGATAATGCTCAATAAACTTAATTTGTAGGTAGAGGTGCATTACATTTTAGTCAATCAACCGAGGATGACACAGCTGCTTTACTTAAAATGTCTGAAGTCAGGGTTTCATTTATAAAAATGTCCACTTCATCCTCACTTTCAGAGCAGATTCCCTTTAAAGAATATGGTTTATGTTGTTTTAAGCATGGATATCATAGAAAACTCTACCAAAACGGCATTTTTTGACAAATATAACATAAAAACAGCAACACAATGGTGTTAATATGGCCTTGAGAATAAAATGTATTTATGTGTAACTTTTATAAAGGAGTTTCTGTCATCTTGACAGTGCACAGTCTGGGTGGTGTCCCAGGTCAGCGAGGTGCACAGCAAACTCAGAGTGCCAGTCTCTGTCAAAGACCGCTCTGAGCTGGCTCTGCAGGGCCTCAGTCTTCGACACAGGGTGAGGAGCATGCTGGGAAATCACAAGACCCACTCCAGCTGTGTTCAGAAAGTAGTCACCTGACCAGTTGGAGGTACCTGGGGAACAACACAACATTATCTTGTCAATTATTAATGTGTTCCCATGCAACAACAAATGGGCTCCTCAACACATGAATGCACAAGAATTTAAGTGAGTTTAAACTCAACTTTACATTTGTGGAAATAATAATCCTGAAGGTAATCTGTTACTCACCAATGTAGGCTATTTTATCAGTCACCATGTATTTGTTGTGGTTGACTCTGGAATATGGAATATCAGACTGGTTTCCCACAGGGACAATGTACAGTTTCTGGAAAGACAGATTATTTGCACAAAAAAAAGAAAATAAATTCAGTGGCAAAGATTCGTGTTTACAGCAGATGCATTTATTTCATGTTGTGTCTTACTAATTGAATGCTGATATTCTGGTGAATGCTGTTCATTGAGGCTAGAGACTTAAGGAAGGGCAGCATGGCTGGATCAGAGTCCTCCCCACAACTGATCAGCATCCGGATCTTAACCTTCCTCTCAAATGCAGCCGTCCTGATGGCATCATCGATGAATGGCCAGTATCTGTTCAATGACAGAATCCAAAGTAAAGCAAAAAGAGATGAATAGTTTAATGGAAACAAATAGTTCCTTCTGTGGGGCAGGTTCACCTCTGAGGCTTTTCAAAGCGTGTGGTGGGGAAGTACTCCATGACAGCTACATCAACAAAGTGTCGGGCCTCTGAGATGATTGAGGTAATAGCCTCCAGGTCTTGAGTCCTGGACGGAGGACAGAATGATGGTGGAGAAGCCTGCGGTGAAACGCAAACATGGAGTATTAATACCACCAAAAACAACCAAAACGTTTTTTTTTAAAACCTGAAAGAACCTAAAAAAGACTGCCACACGAGTGTGAAAGTTTGAAGGCTGGAGGTTGTCCTGGTTGAATTTAGAATACACACACTTATCTGTAAAAAGAGATACCAGTCATTTTTCCATTAGAATAACAGTATCCTGTAAAAAGGAACTGAAACCTAAAAGGAACTCACTGTAAGGTAAAGCCTGCTGGAGACATTATCAGTTTTCACCAGCAGAGGGTGATGTTTGTTGATGTCAGTGTCATACTTTGCAGGCCAGGGCTGTGGCAGGGAGCTGTTGGATTGTCCCATCACCCAGTAGGACTGGAAAATCTTATAGAGATCCTTTGCCAGACTGGAGCAGTTGTAGAAAACTACTCCCAGTTCCTTCACCTGTAGGAAAAAGTGAATTATGAAACTGTCAGGCAGTGTTTAAAGGGTTAAAATAAATCTGTATATCTGCATATTTTTGGTGGTTACCTGTGTGAGAGCCCTCCAGTCCATGTTGGCGCTTCCAATAAAAATGTGTTTTCTATCAACAATCCAGAACTTGCTGTGGAGGACGCCCCCCGTCAAGCGCCCAAAGTTTACGTTCCTCACCTGAACTCCTTCAGACAGGAGGAGGCCAGATAAAGGTGGCTGATACAACGCATTGCAAATCAGAACATACTGCAGTGAATGTAGAGAACAAGAACACCAAACCTTTCTGTTTCAAGATCTTTAAATCTGTGGAGTTTGTCCTAACGCTTGGAACACTGGTCACCACTCGGACAGATATGTTCCTGGAGGGCAACTCTTCAAGTTCTTTCAGGATATCCCTTCCCTGTGGAGGACAGACACAGAATTTTCACAACACACACACAACAACACCGTCCAACAGTGTTTTATTGGTGTTTTAGTCAATAACTCACAGGTATGTCAGAGGAAGAGTTAACATTGATGTCTTCCCCAGTTAAAGTCCAGTAGAAAGAGGCCACATCCACTTGGTCCGTTGCCATGGAGATAAGATCTTTCCATGCTTTCTCCAGAGGCACCCCAAGCGTTACATTGGCTTTATATTTCATATGCTGAGGGATGCTCTCCACCAGAACCATACTAAGACAAAAACAAAGACATATGCTGAGGGAATTCCTTGCAAACTGAACTACAGAAAGTTATAATGTAAAGAGACAATTTAGAGAATCATTAATCATTAAGTCAATACATGTAGATACGTGATGGGTGTTTTGTGATTTCACTTTTAAATTCTTTGCTAAAAACTTCATGCCACATAATTAGAAGAATATGAACAAAAGCGATCCTATAAAGAGGGAAAATGGTTATTTCTAATCATACTACATAGAATACTCAGTATTTAACCTTATGTATGATACCTGATGAATCATCACATCTAAAAAATAAAATACTCATTGCTATCATTAAAGTTAACTATCACTTATGACTCCTGAATATACATATCAATCAGGTAGTTCTGATAGATATATATATATATGTATATATGATATATACAAATATCCTTTGATCCACAGCTGTTCAGGTTGTAGAAAAAATAAATCTACAGTATTTTAGCCATCAACTTATGTATACTTACTATATATACACTTTATGTCTATATGTATATGTGCAAATTATACTCTATAGAAGCAACCTACATGACACATTAAGACCACTCAAGACCTGCCTGAAATGATAGATTCCAGAATAAAAATATATGACTCTTGCACTTAAATCATAGCTATTATCAAACCTACTTATTCTTCACTACTACAGTATTAAGCCCACTCAACAGTTTTATTACATCATAACAACGGCAAACTTGTTGAGCCTATCGGTCCCCGGTGGGCTCTGAAAGCCATGGCAGTGTTTACAGACAGCGAGCCGCTGCACTGGGTTTATTACCGGCACTCGTCCGTAGAGAAATTGCTCCCACCGGTTCCCTCAGGAAGTGTCTCATGGTCTTTTGGAGCCGGTGGTCTTTTCAGCACGGCGATGGCGAGCAGGATCCCCAGGACCGTCAGACAACCCAAAACCACAGCTAATGTGACACAGCTGGTCGACCTCTGAACAGCATCAAGTTTGGGAGGAAAACATGTCTAACAATAAGAACAATGTGTCACACCAAACTGATTGAATATCTTGGTGAATATTTAATGTCCTACCCCTTTGTTTGAAACATAACTGTCATGAAGGCTTGTATACATGGAGGACATTATTCCTTTAAAGGGCTCCTCCTATTAAAGTAAAAAAGCAGAAAATAAAGACTTTGAATCTTGCCTTTCTGACCACACTAATGGCAGAACTCATACATTTACAGTTTAAATGGTTAAAATCTCTGAACAAAAAGCAACTTACACCAAGCAGATGCAGATTCTTTTAGCTCACACAACTTGATTCTTCCCCTCCAGCATTCACTAGAAACAGAACTGAAGTGATATTTCTGCTACTGAATATATCACACCACAGTTCCTGTTTTTACTTTCATTTCAGGCTGAGACATTTGATCAGGATTAAAAAAAACAAAAAGTGTAGTGAGTAAATAGAAGTCATGAAACAAAACAAGTTTTGCTCATCAAATTTATTTGAAAAACCTGAAATCATCAGCTAACAAATTACACAAATAACTGAACATAAATACCAGCTAACAAGACAGAAAGATTACATCCAAATCATCCTGGGTGGAAGGAGGGGGAAACATGAGTTGAATATCAAAACAAGGGGACACAAATTTGACAAACAAAAATTACTTTTCAGCTCTCAAACGTGCTGAAGCTTTGACTTAGGTGGAGTAAAGCAACGGGGAAATCCTATCCCATAGAAGAAGAATAGCAGCAACAATTTGAGCAAGAGGACAAACATTCAATTTTTGCCCGAGTTTGTAAACAACCACTGAAACATCATCCCACACAGCTCTGTGGCACTTACAGGTACTTCCCAGTCACAAATCACATGTACAATCTGGACTGGGAAGAGGGGAAAGTTGCTGGTGCACTGGGTCGCTTTGTTTCCTGCTTCAAGCAACCGCAGCATCAAATGTTTACAATCTTTCGCAAGAGAGTTTGCAGCATATCAGGTCGACGGGATAATGTTTTACTACATTAGTGCAAAAGACAAGATTGAGAGGTAATTTGTAGGACATAGAAATATCTAGATATTTACATACTGAACAACAGAATGTCACAAACTAATGATCAGGTTTACAGTTTTACACCACCGTCAGCTTTAATCGCTGAAATTACAATGCTTCTCTTGTACTGTGAGGACCCATCAGAAGGGATCTTGTGACTTGAGAGATTGAGGAAATAACACATTGTACACAGTGCTCTGATTAAGCATATAGAGGGTTAAGTGTAGTGTGATGGTACAAACACAGATGATGTTATTTATGATTGTCTTTGGCCACCAACCAGAGCTAACTGTGCTCTTCACACGTGGAAAACAAAAACCAAGTTTCAAACCTCCCGCTGTAATAAATAAAAACGCACTTTTCAGAAGGTACAAAGGAATGCTTGAAAACTCTTGTTTTATAGCCACTTGAGTTTGTGGTTGCTAGGTGACTAAACTATGGACTGAGCCCCTCCTACCAGTCGGACCACACATTCCTGAGGGATTTTCATCTCCACTTGGACAAAATATAGTGTTCATCTACTGAGAGGAGCATGGACTGAGTCGCTCCACTGGGAAATGTTACCAGAATAAATACAAAAGAAACTGTGTGGTAGCAACGGTGTAATATAACATTAATTGGTCTGGCAAAGTCATGTTGTCTCGGTTACAGCGTCTCACAAAAGACCCCCAATAAATACTTTTTACATTCTTCGATAAATCTGGTCCACAAACATAAAAGTGGCTAAAAAGACAAAAACATGGAAAAAATATATAAGGGAATGCAGTGGGTTTACTGAGGACACAAGTACACAGTACATTAAAATCTGCAAGGTCACTGCAGTTCTTTCTACTCAAAACAAATATCAATTAAGTAATATTTCCTCACAAATGGGATTTGTCACTATTAAAGATCTTCCCTGAGATGGTAATGCTCAGGTCAAGTAATTACAAAGAGCTTTTAAAATCAGCAATGTTGGCTGTATCATTGGCAAATAAAGAGGTCGACCTCTTAACACACACAGGATCAAGTACAGTGTTGAGGCCTGTCAGAGGTGAATGTGAGATTTACTGAAGTATTTTGGTACTTCCCTAAATCATCGCCTCACATGTCAGCCTCCCACAGAGTCGTGGTTTAAGGGCGTTTAGTGCAGGCTCCTCTGTCTAGGTGCTCATAGTGCAGTAGTGTTTATGTTTGGATGTACAGAAGGCTACAGTTCAGTTCTGCATATTACTTCCTCCTTTCTCGGTTTCATTGTGCACACAATGGTCCGACACCTGGGGTTTTTTGGGGGTTTCAGCAGATGTTCAGCCGCTTATGGAACCTGCGTGTTTGTGTCACACCTCAAACCAAATATCCCTGTCTGAGATCGTCTGGTGTCACAGCTGCTCTCCTGATACTCTCACTGGGCCTCGGGCCGCCGCCACGCTTGGACACAGAGTGGACTGTTCTAAAGTCTCTTGAGGAAGGAGGTCTGGAGGGCCGAACTCCAGATGATGAGGAGGCTGAGGCCTTGGATGCTTCAGGCTGCCCACTGGGCTCAATGACTGTGTTAATCACTGGGGGTAAAAAGTAAATGTAGTTTTCAGTTGATAATATTGATATTGATATTATTATAATGATTACTTATGCTGTTCATATTATTTGTAGTTATGTTTTTAATAAAGGGCCAGGTCGACTCACACTCAAGCTGTCGTTGAACTCTCCTGAGTTCTTTCAGGATAGATGTGATTTCCTGAAATACAGATGTCCAACTTAGTTCAAACAAACAGCATTAACTGACACATATAACTTGAAGTTTGAAAAATCACAGACCTTGTTGGAGGTTTTGACGACAGGAACATCATTGTCAGAATTAACCTTGGCCTCAATGTCTTGCCAGATATCCATCCTGTCCTGGAACAGGACCCTGTGTGCACAATACCAAATTCAGAAGTTACAAAGTGGGTTTCTTACACTTTAAATCCACATTTTTGCATCCAAAACATTGTTGATTTAGTCTCTTTAAGCTTTTTAAATTGTGGTGACTAAAAAGACCTAAATCCAAGGTATACTAAAACACATTTTTCTTCTTTGATATCTTGTTCTGTTTTTTATTATTAAATAAAAATTTGGAAAACTGTGGTGACACCTCACAATGGAAACGTTTTCTTCTGCCTCTAATCTACGGAGAAGACTACATGTCAGAGTCCCATGTCATGTGCTGACTCACTCAGTCACACAAATTTAATAAGATTATTGGCTCAGTGCAGTCTGGTCATCAAACAGGATCAATAAAGTTTTTATCAAACAGATTAAGCATGTGAATAAAGCATGTTTCTTCAAGTGTGTGTGATGTAGGTTTTCTTAACATCTTACTTAATTTTGTCGGCAAGTTGCTCAGTGTTTTCTCTGATGGCCACGATTATCTGAGACACAGGATTCAGCATCAGATTGTCCACCATCACCTAAAGACAAAGACACAAAATATTTTATAATGATCCCCGGTGCTTCACAGAGGTTTTAAAATTGGGTGAAGCGGCAGATTGTTTCAGACCTCGTCCCTGCTCCGAGCTCGCGGCCTTGAGGGCTGTTCATGGTCACTCGAACTCTGGTCAGGTTCCCTTGTGGATGTAGAACTGGGTGGGACTCTCTGGTAGTTTAATCCAGCCTCTGGAATATGATGAATCAGCTGCAAGACAATCAGACTTTAGAAATGAGTGTTTATGGTATAAAACAGAGAGAGGGATGCAAATGGACAGAAAAAGAGAATAGTCATCTTCAGTTCCAGTCAGTTGGGCAATTAGACATTTATGCTTCAGTGTGGTCGATTAACAGCCCTACGAGCCCCAAGAGTAACATCTGATGTACCTGTTCGTGAGCGGTCACTGTGGAGATGGGTGCACTGCTCTCCAGTCCAGAGTTTTGTGGATCACCATCACCTGCCACGTCATGGATCTCTCTGGCTAAGATAGCTAGGTCTTTAGCCAGGTCTTGACTCAACCTAGCAGGGAAAGAACACGGTTAAAAAGATGGCTGAAGTCCTCTGTTTAGAAAACTATGTACACATAAAGGATCCTCGTCTTCTTACTTGTGCCATTGAAGTAATTTAACTAATTCAAGATGGAGTAATTGTATTAAACTGAAATCATATCAGCAATCTACACCAGAAATATTTGTCGGTAATATTCCTTACCGTGCAATCTCAGCACTGTGGTTGGACCAGTTTTGGAGGGTGTCTCCTTCATGATTCTCGTCCTCAGAATCTCTGCTGCGGGCTTTCTGACGCAGGGCGACCACGGGCCGAGGCCGAGGCTGACTGCGTGGGCTATGGGAAGCTGAGGAAGGTTGGGAGCGTTTGTGTTTAGGAGTGCTCTGGTTTGAGTCGTACTCCTCATCTGAGGTAGAGGTATAGTCAGAGCCTTTCTGTCGTCTCCTGGAGCCTTGGCGTCGTGAATTGGTTTGAGTAACGGATGATGAGGATAGAAAAGGTGGGAAAGCAGAAGAGAAAACACCACCAAGTATTTAAGATGCTGCCACCAAAACTCCTCCCCAGAACATCAGATAGAAAAGCTGCTGTGGAAGCGCTCATTTCTACAGCTGAATTTTATCAGAAAGATGACTTTGATGATTCAAAATAATTTACAAATTGAAATAAGTATGACTTCCACAGTACAGCAGCTGAGTATCAGACAAGTACCATATAGAGACCCTGTTCTGTTAGCATAAAGCATTTTGTACATGGTTAGTGTTGTAACCTTCATCATGTCACAGAATCCTGTTAAATGACCATAAACCTCATGGGAACACCAGATGAAGGAAAAACAAATTTGATCTAAACGCACTGTAATATATAAGGGCTCTTTTTTAACACAAGCAAAATGACAAAGACAAGGCGGTAGGTCATGGGCTCACGGACAATGTGGGCATCTCCTATTCAAATATGGGCTGGCTGAAGGTGATTATAAATTATTGAGTGTGTGGTGATTAATAAACACTTTCTCAGCCAATCCAATCACAGGTCTCATTGCTCTCAAAAAACTGTGCCAATCACAATGATGCATGACAACTACTGCTCAACAAATTTCTCCAGGATATCATGTTGTCAGATTGTGGCGATGGTGATAGGAATAAATAATAACAAAATAGTTTGTATTTCTATGATTGCATTGAACCGCCCTCCTGTTTGCTCCGCTGCTCCTATCTATGAAATGTGCATTGTCACAAAAATACCCACATAGACAGGCAAGGCGAATTGCAAGGTGAGGAAAATACCAAACTGTGACAGCAGTGTTTGCGCTGCCGCAAAAATATGGCCCTAAATGTTAGTGTCATTGATGTAAGTGAGTAACTTAGAGTAAATTCCCTTCCCAAATGTCATTTTAGGAAGAAAAAAAAAAGTATAGAACCCAGGGGTTATTTTCTGAAACATAACAGTATAAAAACTTGTGTGTCAAACCAATTCACCACTGTAGTTGAGTAACAGACCATATAATGCTTCCAATCCAATTCTTTTTAAAAACCTTTGAAACTCAATGAAAGTTATATGCCGGTGTGTATTATACTCACTTGCAGTGCTGCTGGCATATTTGGCACTGCTCGAACGTCCACGAGTGATTGGTGTCTTGTTGAGCGCTGCTTTCTGTGGCCTTTCTACAGGCTTCGGCCCCGGAGCAGAGGCCCTTCGAACTGAGCTGCTGCCAGACTCTGTGCTGCGGTTGGAGAATCCTGTGCTCCTGCCCGTCCCCTGTGGGACGGAGGAGGCCTCTGTGTCGCTGGGTGTGTTGAATGAGCTCGTCCGCTTACGAGGCATCGCCAGCATATCCAGCCTGGAGAGTTGTTTCCTGGTTTCCTGGGGTTGCTTTGCTGGGCCGCTGCCTGCCTCCTGGGACAGCCTGTCGGTCTCCGTTCCCTCGTTGTCCGAAGCTTCTCCCAGGCGAGCCCGTCGGAGCATGGATGCTCTGGTGGGTCTTGGGGCCGACAAGCTGTTGGCACGAGTTAAGGCCTGGGACACTCTGGATGTCTTGCCGTCTTCCTTCTGTAAGGGTACCGAGTATTTTTTGCGGGGTTGGTGGTTGTTAGACTCCTGATCAGAGTAAGGTAAGCTCTGCGGGTCATCACTTAGGTCTGTGGAGCCACATTTCCCGACACTACGTCTCAGCCCAACAGGTCTCCTGAAAGACTCAGTCTTGTTGTTGCTGTCTGCTCCCTGAGAGCGCCACTTTTCTGATGTACCGGACAGGTGAACGGAATCTTGACTAGCTATACTGGCGGAGGACCTCTCCCTATGAAGGCCACTAACTGAAGTTTTTTTAGTCAGTGTGTTTGGCCTGGTCTTACTGCTATGTTGGCTGACTGTGCTGGAGGTATCCACATCAGACTCTCCAGAAAGAGAGTCCATTATTGGCGACGGTGTTGTTTCTGATTGTCCTGCTTGGAGTTTGGCCTCCAGAACAGCCAGAACATTCTCCGTCTCTTTGAGGTAAGAATGAGTGTCCCCTCCCTGGAATGACTCGGGGTCTGGGTCTTTTTGAACAGGCTGGCTAGAGATGTTGGGCAATCTGGCATTGCTAGGCCGCTCCTTGGTGAAACTCTCTTGTCTGATTAATGGGGATGTGGTGCCCTCTTTGGACTCTGGACTCTGTCTGCCCTGGCCCAGGACAGGAGCAGACATACTGGGTTTGACTTTTCCAGAGTCCTGGTTAAGTCTTGGTTTGGTCAGGGTGGCTGTAGAGAAAGTTTTGGTTCCATGTTTTCTTTCAGTCTTAGGAGTGCTGGGTTTTGAGTCTTCATGGTCAGCTTTGGACGCAGCCTCCTCTGACCCGATGTAGAATGATGTAGACTTGGCTGGGAGTCTGAGTTTGTCCTCATTTTTCTTCTTCTCTTCTGTGTCTGACAGCGGTCTCCTCCTTTGCTCTATGATGGAACCATCATCTGACCTGCTGGCGTCGCTCAAGCTGTCAGGCTCTACGTCGTCCTGCACTGACAATCTGTGATGGCTATCCTGAGACTTGGGGGTCACCAGGCTATTCTCTTCTATATCAAATGTTGAGTGCAGGTCATAATGAACATGAATGCTGGGAGTTGGAACGTCACTCTTCTCCCCCACTGGTACCTGGGGCAGGACGCGCCGAGCTCTTGAACCATCAGAGTTGCCGCTGTCGTGCTGTTGACTGAGTGTGGCCTTGTGGATGATTGTGCCTCGTGCTGAAGAAAAACAGTTTTAATGCATATTAACCACACATGCTGAAACTGAATATCATTCATATTCATCAGGGTGGCTCATTATCATTTCAAATAGACTCATGTCTCGTCAGGTGGCTCACCCCCTCCTGACAGCTCCATCTGGGAAGGAACGTCAAAGAGGCCAGACGAAGGGCCAGATTCTGTGTAGCTGTCTGCCAAGCTGGCCCAGCAAGACATCCACTTAGGAGCCCCCTGTAACATTGCACCTGCTGGTTGAACCTGCATGAGATAACATACACCTTATTCAATATCTTATGTAAAAGATAGAAGATGAAATATACTGAAGAAAGCAGTTTTTAATGATATGATTTCCTTAGTAGGAAACACCGTTAATATGAAAAACAACAGAACATATCATACATCAGTCTGTTTCATAAGTATGTAGTACGACTGATCTAAAAACGGATTTTTTCCCTTATATTTGGTTAGAAAGAAAAACCAAAACGAGGAAGCACTCAGAACCTGTGAGGGAAAAGGAGGCAAATCTAGAAATCAATGGAGAGTTCCACCATAAAGAAAAGAAATCCCAAGAAAGCAAATCAAGACAGCAACAGAAACTGATTTGTGCGTCTAAACATCAGATGGTTTACTGATCCAACACAATAATTAACTGACTTTAGAAGTGGCAATAAAATTATTTGTTATTCTACCGAATCATTGATTCCACCCTGAGCAGGAAGTTTTACCTTCACCAGACTCTGTCCCTGTTCTGGAGCTGGCCTCACCTCCCCACCGCTACTCTGTCTATGCTGCTCCCTGCTCTGAACAATAACAGGCCTAAATGCTGATGATGTTTCTGCTTCACTCTGGTTGGTTCGCTCTGGGCTCTCAAAAACACCAAACACCTGTCAGGAAAAAGCAGTGCAAGTGGATAAGTGCAGGAATGGAGAAAGTGGGACTGCCAATGTCCATGGTTCATTTTGAGTTGGACTTTCACCCAAGAGACAGACACTGATGATTGCAAACCCAATTTATTTCCTTTAAGTAACATGTTGTAATTATTAGCCCTACAGCGTACAGACTTTATTTAAATTAAAGAAACTTGCCTGGTCAATCTTACTGCGCGCCTCTTCTAGCTCTTTATCCTGAATATCCATTTCAATGGTGTAGGTTCCTGCATCACTCAGACTGTCCTCCTCTTCGTGTTTGGGGCCGACATGGGGGCTCTTGACTTCCACACTCTGAGACACCAGGGGCATCACAGGGGCCTTAAGGGGAACAGGCTGGTGGATAGGAGATGAAGTCTGTGGCTTTTGGGGAGAGTTAGATGGAGTTTGGGAATCTACCACCGTCTCTGTTTTAGCTGCTGTAGGGGAACAAGATGTGTTTTTCTCCCAGCTGGCAGAAGAGGACTGCTTTGCTTGTTTGAGGAATTCAGCAGTAAATTCCTGGGCAAGTTTGGATCTCCGGCCCACACTGCTGAAGGGCCTTACTGACACAGATGATGAAGAGCGAGAGGTAAAGTTGGTGCTGATCCGGTCCTCCGTCTTCTCCCTCCGTAGAGAGCCAGCTCTTTGAGGCCCTGTGGAAGCAGGGCCCTTCAGGGGGACGGTGTATCGTTGGGTTGGGGGAGTGGTGGAGGCTGGAGACGGGACTTGTCTCTCCCCAGTTGGGCTTACAGTCTTCCTTGCCTTCTCCAGCTGGACCCTGAGGCCTGGGGGTTCAGGTGGGCATGTGTTATTGGTGAAGGACTGGGAGCGCTTTTTTCTTGGGTTATCATCAAAGAATTCAATGACAAAGGCTTGGTGAGGCTCAGCCTTGCCGAGGCTGGATAGGGGCTGAGACTCCGGTGGAGAGTAGGACGTGGGCTCCTCAGAGTTGGGGGAGGCATAGCATTGTGGCGGGGATGCTCTCAGGGGTTGCGGAGACACCTGCGACCCAGTCTGAGGTTGTGATTGGAGAAAATCATTTCCATTGATCGAAACATCTCCTGAATCACTGGGAGTGCCATCTTCAGGGCTGTTTGCTGATGATAGAAAAACCACAAGTTAGCACAATAATGCAGTCAACGATAGTGTCGGTAAACATAAAACCAACTTTGTATAAGTGTCTCACCCCTGGTGATCTTAAGAAGTGATGGGTCACTGTTTGTGCTATACATGTCTTCAGCCTGTGACCTCCTCCTCATCATGCTAGCATTGCTTTGGACCAGCCAATCAGCTACTTTGCTTTCCGCTGACATCACCTCAGTGGGTGTAGTGACAGCCTCTGTGGAAGGCAGCTTGCGCTGCTGGCGGAAAGAAAACTTGGTCACGTGGTCCTTAATCTTCATTTTACCTGGCGTGCATTCATCGAATTCGATGGTAAAGGAAGCGTGGCTTTGGACCACAGGAGGTGTGGGGGTGGAGGACACACACTGACTGGGATCTGGAGTGTCCTTTGTGGGAACCTCGTGAACCTCGTGAACCTGCGACTCAGGTTTCTTGGCAGGTCGCGGCTGGGATTCCTTTGTAGGGATCTCAAAGTATCTTGGCTCCCGGCGGTAGGAGAAAATAGACTTGGCCTGACTGTCGGACAGAGAACCATTGACCTCATATCTGGACACGTCTTTAGCAGACTCTGTTAGCAATGAAGAGTGGTGAGGATGCAAACACAGATGCACAGCAAGCATTAGTGATGGTTTTACATTGTCATCCACAAAGGGAATCATTTACAATAGGAAGAATATAATTTTGGCATTAATAATAGAAACATATATATGTGATATGCTCTTTTGTTTAGAGTGCCATTTTGAACTCACACTTATAGCTAAGTAACTCAAACTTTAGAGATACACACAGCTAAGGCAACAGATTGAGATGACTGGGATGACACTGGGATGACACTGTCGCACAATCTCTGAAACTGGAAGCCTCAAATCACACAAAGATTCCAGCTGTTAGACTGAGGAAACAAATCCGCCAGTTGGCATTTGGATGTGGCAAAATATCACTTTAGGAGCTCAGATTCTAGCAGAGGGTAGCTGAGCTGGAATAATCTGTTACAGCCCGGGAAACATGAGGCCTCCCCCCTCCACCAGCTTTGAGGGTCATAATCCATCACGAGGCAGACAGGCACTGCCCACTGCCTTGGCATGGTATGGCCTGGCTAACAGTCCACAACTGGCGGCCAGAGACCTGCCTTGGGCTCAACACCATCCATCTCTCAGTGACCCACAAAGGGCATCAGATAGCAGTGCCATAGAAAAACATGTCATTAGGAATTATGGTCCTATTCACAGATGTGGGAAGATCTAATACAATTACAGTACACATTAGTAAAAACACATTTTCTGACCTGGAGACTCCTCTCCTGGCGATTTTCCACCTCTGTTCTCCTTTCTGTTGGCTGGGTCCTCATCCTCCCCCCACCAGGACGGCTGGCCATAGAGAGGAGTAGGCTTGGATATTGGAGAATCTGTGGCAGCTAACAGACAAACACACAAATACAAGCACAAACACAGACAAACACACACCATTAGGCACATTGATATACTCAGGCGTAGAGAGACAGGGGAGAAAAGAAGAAATAAGCAAACAAAGAACTGAATATATAACAGCTCTTGTACTTATAAGGCAACAGGTTTACATTAGTCACATGATAACACAATGTTGTGTCTGGGTTTGGTGTTGCAAAAACAAAATGTTACACAACACTGGAGCTCAGAGAGACATAGTGTTACAATACTTGTAGCCTTTGTGTTTTTTTGCAATTCCAGCAAATTCCCAAGACAGAGAGAGCAGTGAGGCCTGTGTGATACAAATTGTAACACACAGCCACCAAAACATAATCCTTCCCGTGCAGATCGGGACAAAGCTAATCCTAATCTTCAAAGAAAAACAACAATATAATAATACAGAACACAGAATAACAACATCTAAAGTGAGGCTTCTTGTAGACAGTGACATTCATTGTTTGCACACTGACCTCTGCTCCCTATACAGGTGCAACCTGAGCAATGAGGGTTATTTCCCTGAAGCCGTATCTGAACTGCTGTTTAGCCACCGACTTTCCAGTCCACACATACCAGCCACCCTATATGCCACTAATCAGATCACCTAAATACTGTTTGTTGGCCTGATACATAGGCTAAACAATCTCCCTGGAGTTTAATGTGGAGGCTTCACAATCCTGAGCATCAACAGCACTTCACCACTGTTGCCTTGGACACACACAATAAGACATCAACACAGTGACGGGAGAAACAGAGGGGCATGTTACTAATTCCTTTCCCCTTAGCCAACCCTCTCCTTTTAGCTAAAGAAAACACGGGGGAGTGTCACAACTAAAGCGGACTGAGCACAGTTCTCAATATGTGGCCTCATGAAAAGTTTGAACCGCTGGAAATTAAACTAATTTCCATGATCTTGTTCAGGTTAGTTCATTCATAGTCGGGTCATCTTAGTCTGGAAAATCAGACAACATAGTAAATGAACTGAGATTAGGGACATTTTAAATCATGTAGTGCTGTTGCGTACTGTATCAGTGAACAAATATCCATTTCATGCCCCTTTAGAAAATACTAAATAGTCTGGGAATAAAGTAGGCTTGACTGAGTCACACACTGTGCAAGTGAAGTGCCCTGCCCTGCAGACAGCTGGAGGATTGGACATACTCCACATCCTGTACAGCTGCAGGGGAAAACAAGCAAGGGCACACAGAAAGAGATATACACAACTCTCTCAGCAGTCTTTAAGCGACAGAATTGTACATGATTTGTGTGATTAAAAATAATTATTAGAAAAAACCTTAACAAAACCAAAATGAAACATCCAATCTAGAGTAAACATAAGAAACTGCATCAAGGCCTCCAGTCAAACAAATTCAGCCAAAGAGAATCAATTTGCATGAAGTCAACAGAGGTATGCAGACCCAGTGTGGTTGTGTAACTAAGTGCAGCTCTTTTTATCTCTCACTGTGAGGAAAATGTTTTTCTACATGTGTTTATCTAAGTGCAGTTTTATTCATATTTTCTGTAACTTACTATCCTTATCTTCTTGTGACTCTACATTTAGCGAGAGAGCGGAGCATGTTCTAATTAATCTCATTGGTGGACTGGTTCACGACAACACAGGGAAGGCTGCTGCCACACTGCACGCCCCCTCCCAAACGTGGCTTCAGTGAGCACGTTGGACAAAGAATGTGCAGTTACAGGTTTACAGGATCACTGTGGTTAGCTTATTGCCGCAGGAGATACAACCACAATCACATTCTAGTAAGAGACTTCTTACAACAAGGCCCGCTAAATGTTTTCCAAAGTTCTGCACTTCAATGACTTATCTGTAAGGCACTCTGAGGGATATGAGCCTACTGCTGGAAAAATCCTATTTTAAGCACCCGTTGTAGCTTTCCCTCTAAGCTCACAGGGGCGATTGTGGAGCAGAAAGCACGAGAATTGCTAAATCAACAACAGCTGGAATAGGTTTTGTCAGTGTGAATGAGCTTCATTCACAAAGTGCTTCTCTTGAACTAACAATTCTCTCACTGTTTCACTGGTGCCTGTACTGTACAACAGGATTTACGCCGTACAGCTCGGGGCCGAAAGGGCATCACAGCAACTGAAAATATAACTGGCAGCAAGTACACCAACGGGTACATAGACAAAAGTGCCAACTTGGAACCAAAAGCCTAGACACCTTTCTAATTATCTACGACACGTGTTGAAGCATCATCGGCGTGTCTGGCAGCATCCCACCTCTTGTCAGCGGTCGGGCATGGCTGACAGAGATAAGACTGCTTGTCCTTAACTCTTTACCCCTCAGCTCATCTGGCAAGCTCTTACTCGTGTACGCTCATTCTGCTAACCTCCGGGATGTCAAGATCTATTTCTTTACTGACACTATAGGATTGCAGCCTCAGCCTCTCAAGCTCACATGGCAGCCTAATCTCACACCAGGGGAGCTCTTAATAAAAGAAGCCACAACCACGTTATCAAGTGATCTAAAGCCACAGTCCTGCAGCACATGGAGACTGGAGATTGGACACTTCCTCTTACTCGTGTGTGTGTATGAACATGGTATTCAAATCCATTTCAGTTAGAACAGATCCTCTCAGGCAACAATAACAATTGAACTGCTTCTGTTATCATACAACCTGCTCCCTTCCTGCTAATGTGCTATGATGTAGTATGACGGACAGGGTTAGGGGGGTTGTTTACCTGTGAGTGAGTGGGCTTTTCGCTCCGCCTTGTCTTGCAGTTTGACATTGGAAACAGAGCCTTTGCTCTTGTCTGAGCTCTGGAGCTGCTGTTTTTCCTTTGCCTTGGCCTCCAGGGCTTTTATACTAAGCTGCAGCTGGCTGGTGTACTTCTCATGCTGCACAAAGAGACAGGAGGGAAGCAGGATGTGAGAAACCTTCTGCCAACAATCAGTACAGATGTAACTGTCCTCAGACATATACAGTGTAAGGATGAATATCCTTTAAGGGCTTCTGCTCAGTCTTATTGTTAGCAGGGTTGTGGTTATTAACATGAGGCTAAAACGCTGCATATGGGAAAAAAACATTTGACACAGCGCGGCGAGGACACAAAACCAAAGCATTAAAATATTCAAGATAAGCAAAGTGACTTTAAGTGCGGAGTAAACCAGATCTAGTCCAACACTAGTTATCCAATTTGTTGGAACATACCAAGCTCATAATGATGAGTGACAACAGTTGGCACAGGAACTTGACTAAAGTCACGCACACTACATCACATTTCAACTAAGAAGTTGCATATTGTTTATTTTAGTCCTTTATTCAATTAGTCAATAGACAGGAAATTGACCAATAGACATTTACTACTCATTTAATGCTGTTATCAGTAAAATCTTTTTGGTAAAGCCTCTTATAGGTGCTTGCTTTTCTGTTTCCTTGTCAATTTGAAGCTCTAGTGTTCTTTATTTACTTTTTGTCAGACAAAGAAGGAAACATTTTAAAGAAAGTTAGCAATTATGATAAGATTTAGTAACTTGCAACATGCATTTGTAACCATTTCTGGTATTTCACGGGCGAATTTGAAAAAAATCATTAAATAATCCAAATTATAGAAGAGCACTGCCGTTTATCAACAAAGATCAATAGCAAACATTTCTCCCTACCCTAAAAAAAGGCACACAATGCCAGTATTACTTACTTTTAGAGCTTCCTCTGGGACTTTGTGTTGACTCTTCTCCAGGATATAAACATGAGCATGTGCAGGAGGAGTTAAAGTACACAGACAGACCTTCAATTTTGGAAAACAATGTGATAATACATCTATTTATATAATCACAGTTTAGTGTCTGATCAGTAAGTGGCACAGGGAGTTCAGTGTATGCAAATCTGCTACCTAAAGTCTGGTAAGTGTGCAGTCAGTGCTCTTTTACTGAATTTCAATTTCATGTCTAGTTTTCACCTTGTCTCTTAAGGAGGTCAAAAGTACCTTCTTCTTACTGCTTACAAGTAGGAAGAAAACAGATAAGCAGCAGAGACTGGCTGCAATTCAAACAAGCTCATATCTTCAACGACCCACTCCTTGAAAAATCACATGCCACATACTAGCCACCAACACTCCTAAATGTTTCTGTGCTCTCCAGAGCTTTCCCCCGCTGTTATCTTAAGTAAGTTTCACCATTCATGAGTTTTCTGCTCTGGGGGTCAAAGGGTGCAGGAGATTTTCTATCCACAGTTGACCATAATCTAAAACCCCTGACTGAAAAACCACAGGGGATTAACATGCCGATGGAGTGAAAGACCACAGAGGGAAAATAAAATGTAAAAAATTTGTTTCAGTCACCAACTTAAACTGTTCCAACTGAAGAACACAACAACTGTATTTCACGAATCACACACAGTTGAGCCAAACATGTGACTAAAATGTAAGTAAGTACATGAAAAAGGATATCATAGCCAAAACGAATGACATCAGAGAGCTTGAGGGTGATGTACGTCTGGTCTGGGATTCTTAAGTCGTTCACAAATGTCTGCAAAACAGAGAAAAATAACATCAAGTCAAATCATTTTCACTGGTCATTAATGAAGTGAATGTGTTGACTCGCAGGTGACAGGCTCTCTAATTCCTTATATCACGCACCCACATACTGTAAGGTGCTTTGCAATTGGCCGTTTTCCCACTGAAAGTTAATCCACCAGCACATTAAAACTCTGATGAGATTATCTTGTTATGCAATGGCCGCCTCGGCTTTTGTGGAATGCTTAATGGCCAGGTAGAGGTAAACATATGCAACAATGCTTAGTTTGTTGATCAATTAAGATATCTTTTGCCTAAACTAACAACTGGTGAGACTACTCATCAGGTTGTTAAATGTAAAACAAAAGATCATGCTGGAAGTGTGCAGAGCAGAGAATGGGAGAGCAGATCTTGTTCTATACGGACTAAATGAAGATAATTGGGGCAAAACTGAGCCATGTTGAATTTCAGTTACAGGTCCTTGCACTGTTCTGCTCTGATTAGTTTGGCTGCAGTTACCAAGGCCAAAAGAAACACTCTCTGAGAACAATGAACGGTTTCTCCCACTGCTCAACTCTGTATTTCGTTGGGATAATGGTGAAATGAAGTGGCAACAGAGCAGTGAAGGGAGGGAGGAGGGCTGCAGAGTGAGATAGAAAGAATGGGAAGGGAAAAAAAAAAAAAGGGGGTTCGGGCCAGCAGGAAAATCGAGTCTCCTGATTACAACTGTTCTACCAACCGTCCCCGTCTCTGGCACACAGAGAGGGGTATTTTGTGCTCTGGGAATTGTTGTGGACCTGAGACTGGAGCCTTCAGGGAGTCCAGTGGCTGACTCCTTTATCACTCTGGGTTGAGGCAGGTAGTCTGACACGAGAGAGAGACTCACTCACCCCGTTCAAGCTGCCCAGGTCCTTCACCATGTGCTCGTCTGTGTTTGTGTCGTAGTTGATCACCGCATGCTGTTTGTCCACGCTGCGAGACTGCAACAAAAGTGAAGCAAAGGTCATAATAAAGGGATTAGTCGGTCCACAGAAAACGGCAAGTATTTTAATAATTGATTGTTTATTTTATATGCAAAAACAAAGCACATTCTCTGTTTCTTCTCTCTTTTTTTTACCACTGCGACCTGAACATCTTTGAGTTCTGAAACAAGACATTTGAAGCCATCACCTCGGGTTCTGGGAAACTGTGTGGCCATTTTTTTTTTTTTACATCCAATGAACTAAATGTCTAATTGAGCAAATAATCTGTAGAATAAATTGATAAAGAAAATATTATTATTTGCAGCCCTAAAACAAATCATCATTCCTATAGAAGGATCCTAAATTAGGACTGGTGTCTAAAGACATTCGAGCAGAGTCACACTGACCTGTCCCTGCAGAAACTGCATAAAAGCCTTTAATGTAACACTAATAGCTGGCCCTCATGTGCCAAACTCTGCCTGCGTAGCTCATAATCAGACGAAATAGGTGCTTACTTCTAAATATGCTTTCACCAATTAAGCGCAAACTGCACAAGTGATTCAGACTGACTCAATGGGTCTTGTCTGCTCATTAGGCACTCTGGGCCTCCTCGTCACAAAAATCACAAAGACTGAAGACTGACTGCCAAACTCATTTGCAAAATTACCACCATCCTCGTATGGTCCATTTACAGGGTTGTCACACACTCTTCCACATCAGCTACTAACTGGGCCAAACAGCGTTCAGAGGCTGTATGTACCATCTGTGTTGACCTATTCACTCAGTGGACTTCTAAATCACTTGTATATACGATACTGCATACAAGTAAATGTTTAGCAATTAGTTTACCAACTTGATTAGGTTAACTATGCAGCCGCACTAAGAGTTCCTAATTCAATGACTACTACCTACTTTCACTTTGTCCCCCTTTATCACAGAGAAAATGTTAGCTCTGGCATCAGGAAACAATGACTATACTGCTGAACGTGACATAATGCAGTCACTATTATTGCAGGGGGCATATGGTCCAATTACTTTTCATGGAGATACAGACATTGATCAGACACGAGTCGTCATGGAAAGTCCAAACATTGAAGTGGAGGCCCCGGGCTTCGCTACTTGATCTGACTTCACTTACACTCTCTTACATGCTTTTCATGCCAAACAGGATTCTCACGTTACAGACATTCAACTGTGGTTTGAATGGGGGAAAAAAAAATACGCTGAGCTACAAACTGAAAAAAACAAAAGATTGAAGGGTTAAAGACAGTTTGGAGTAGAGGCTGACTGGTGTGCCAAGTCAGGAAGCAGTCCTGAGCACTTAAACAGAGCAACAGTAAAGTCTGCATCATCTCAGACTGGGAGAAGCTGAGGTTTTTTCCTTGAGCTGGCGACGCCTAAATGCGGACACAAGCAACTTTTCAATCTAACCGAGCTCTGTGGTTGGCACGGCTTTTCTGAGCATAACGCTAAGGAAAGTATAAACAACGGCTCCTAAGGCAACATTCCTCTTTCACTGGTCTAAATACACAGCGAGGAGAAAATGGGAGGGAGAGATTTATACGAAAAACCCACAAAGAAATTGTATTTATGACAGACGGTGGATGGAAAAACAACACAGTGGAACGTTTGAGCTGTTTTAGTTCATTGTTTGAAAGGCGGTCGGGGGCAACTTTGTGCGAAGGCAGTGTCACCAGGTCGCACACACACGAAGCATGCATGGAGCCTCCCTCTGGTGTTTCACATATTCACGTGACTAGCCGTCCTGTCAGACATCAGGGAAGAGCAACAAACCTTTTTGACAGATTACAGTGAAGAGACCAGTTAGGGTTCATGTGACAAGTACGCGAGCACACACGTTATCCTTCAGGCGTGCTCTTAAACACACACACACACCTGCAGCATTAACTCGCAATCGTCCCGGCCAACGAAGATCATCTCCCGTGGCAACCGGTGGCGTGTGCCGGAGCTGCTGACCAGGAACCATGATGTCACACTCATGTTGGGGCCACGAGTCAGGATCTTCTTAGCATCCTATGGGGGGAAAAAAAGCGAGAAATATTCAGAGAGAACATGGCCAGGAGGGCATATCAAAGGAAACCACAGGGTTGAAATGCCTGAACAGTTGTCATTCAGGAGGCATGATCAAAAGTCAATACCTGTGTGTCCCTGAACAATGCTAGGTGTCTGTTGTGAAAGCATGCTTTAGAGTAGAGATTACTGAGGGGAAGTTACCATATCACCTAAGTCAGACCTGTTTGTCCGACCAGCTCCGGTCTGGCTATGTTACTATTGAGATAATGCAATGAAATAAGCACTCTGAACACATTTTAATGTGTTGGTGAGTCAGCCAGGTTAGGGACAGACAGGTTTCCCATGCGTCAGTAGAGGAGGATGTGTTCACAAACGCAGAGCTCCTTATAAAACGAGGCATTTTTTAAACAGTATCTGTTTAATTACTCACGCTGGCAAACCTGTTGCAAAGTGGCGCCTGCGACTCTGAGTAACGTCAGCCAACAACTCACGTTTTTACTTCCTGTAACCTTGGCTACGTTACCATTACAGCCAAAGTAATATGAGCCCAATAATAACCTCTAGAGCTCAACTTATTACCGAATAATTGTCTGGAAATGGCAGCTCTGATATTATTCACCGCGGACTGTTTGAGTGTCGGTGACGGTGCGGTTGTTTGTAGCTGACGTTGCTGACCGAAACAAGCTTTTTCCAACGATCGTGCATCCAACAAGGACGTAACGTTACCTTCAGTGCCTTCTCCGTCTTACTCCTGAGTGAAGCCAGTGTTTGACGACCTACGGCAGAGGATATTCGACGACCGACATGTACGACAAGGGCGCCAGGTAACACCGGACAGGTAAATTTGGATCACACCCTCTTCTTCCTTTGGGAATGACAACCGGGCGAAACTCTGCGACGCCTCTCCTGCCGACACGGTGACGTCGCCTGACAAGTCCCATCAGCCGCTTTGAGTTTGAGCTGAGAGGTGGAGGGAAGTAAGAGCTCTCACTCTGTGGGTTTTCCGGGTGCAGACAAAAAAATACCCTCATGGTTAGGGGGAGAAAAGAAGAGCACGCCCTCTAGTAGATATTCATTTTTAGTATAATTAAATATAGGTTTTATTATGAGTATTATTTAGCATATTCAAAAATAAAACAATAATGTAACGAATTGTTTTTATTGTTTTTTTTTTCATTTTTACCCTTTTTACTTTAGTTCAAAATATAACCGATTATTAACATGTAAGCAGCATTTTAACGTTGGAAAAAGGCAAGCAATATATTATTAATAACTTATTACAGATATAGCTGTATCAATTATCTGTTGGCCGATAAGTAACCAGAAATTGTGGCACAGAAATGCCAAAATAGATTTAGAAATAGTAACTCCATTACATAGTCAGAGAGCACTGGCTGATATTTTCCTATCCAAGGGATCCATATCAACAGCATGTGTTTTTATTGTTAATTATTATTTTTTAAATTATATATCATTGTCAGATATTTAAATTCCTAAATTATTACTATGGTATTAGCCTAAAAAATACAGTATCAGCTGAAGATATGGGGATCTGTGAGCAGATGTGGGGATTTGGTACTAGGGAGATGGGTTTTAAAATGTATGCCGATATATTTTTACATAAGCTGCTTTGTGTATGCTCCAGAAGCTCCAGAAGGTATTTATGCCATTGCTTGGTAAAACAAAATCGCAGGTGTAGCACGCATGCGTAGGGATTAGAGGTTTTTGTTTTTTGTTTTCTAGAGTTTTAACCTCATGGTGACTCATCCTCTTTTTTGACGATCTTCGGCTCTATGGCACGACATCACTTTGTTTATCTTGTTTCACGTTTGCAGCTCCAGCGGGACAATAGAAAGGAGAATATATCAGCTTAAAGTCAAATAAAAGGATTGATTTCATGTGGCAACGAGGTAAAAAATAAATAATAACTGCTTCCTCGGGAAACAGAGATTTAAATAATGTTAACTTATTGTTGTAAAAAGTGTGTAAAGCGCATGAATCACCAGTAAGAACATCCCATTCAAATATCATACCGCTATATATATTCAACTTGCAATACGCTGTTTATCTAATCATTTGCTCTTTAGTAATTTGATGTGTGGATATGGAATATTAATCCAACAGAAATACTTTTTACATAAGTGTTATACACGCTAGGTGGCGCTCTAGTTCCAATTTACCGCATTGATCTCCAGGAAAACTTGCATTTTTGCTCTCAGTGTGTTTGTAGTAGCAGAGGTGGAAGAAGTGCTCAGATCTTTAACTTAAATTAAAGCAGCCAAACCACAATGTAGAAATACAAGTCCTGCATTCAAAATGTTACATGAACTTCAAAATATACTTAAATTACAAAAAATAAAATGAGTCAGTATGCAGAATATCTTTTCATAAAAATGTATATTATTGGATTAAAATTATTGATGCATTTACATTACTTTAATGTTTCAGCTGGTAAAGGTGGGACTTATTTTTTACAATATAGACTGCAGGTCCTTTGTGAATTTCACCAATGGATCAATATGTATAATATGACATAATTATTTATATGTTGATTATATTTGATGTCATTAATCTGAATCTGCCAAAGGTATCAAACAAATGTAGTGCAGTAAAAAGTACAATATGTCCCTCTGATATGTAGTGGAGTAAAAGTATAAATAAGCATAAATGGAAATAATTTATAGGTACTTGTACCTCAAAATTGTACCTCTGTACTTGAGAAAATGTACTTTCCACCAGTGGCAGTCAGTAAAAAAGGAAAAAAATGATTACCTCCAGTTTCCATGTGAGGAAAAGTCCCTCTATAATGTCTTCCCACAACTCTAAAAACAAACTTTTTTACAAATAAAAAAGTAATGTACATTTTTTAAAATCCCTCTCTCAGCCTTGCAAAACATGGGATGTGTACAGAATTGACCAATGTAGTAACATTACAGTTTGGACACTCAGGATGACAAAATTATAGATAGATTGTAAATATATAAGAATATGGATCCAAACAGACCTGAGCCACAAACAACACACAAAGGGAGAGAGAGAGAGAGACAAGGACAACATCCACACTAGAGAGAGAGAGAGAGACAGAAACAAGAGGAGAGGTAGAATCTCCTGGAGGACAAAGATCCAGATCCAAAACATCTGGAATGAGGCACCGGCAGCCAGGGGAGGGAGAGAGGTCCCAGGTCGGCGAACTAGGGAGTGACTCACAGCTTGGACACTCACATGCTTGTGGGACAGCAAACAAACAGAGGGTCAGAGAGATGCAGTGGCTTTCAGAAAGTTTACAGTATTTTTTCATCAGCAGGACAAACACGCACTATAAGTATAATGCTTAACAGATTCATTAAAACTGACACCCACACGAAGGATAATGGTGAAATAATCAGAGCAACTAACTAAAAGTTAAGGCACAAAGATGAGTTTTAAGTTTGGATTTAGAAGCCCCAACAGAGTCAGACCATCTGATTCCAGCAGGGAGGTTATTCCAGAGAAAAGGGGCACAATAAGAAAAGGCACTGCCGCCTGCTGACTACTTTATAACTCTGGGGACAGACAGGAGCCCTGTATTCGAGAGTGGAGAGAACAGGAATATAAGGTTTAGGAGATCACACAGATATGAAGGGTTGAGACAATTTACGATTTTGTAAGTCATCAGATCCACCTTAAAGTCTGATCTGATATGGACTGGGAGCCAGTGAAGTGAATTGCTGTAATATAGTCAAATCTTCTAGTTTTAGTTAGGATTGCAGCATTCTGCACCATTTCAAGACTTTCCTTGTGCTATGTTTAGGTGGGTTTACCCTCTACTTCACCCCTGCTCTTGTAGTCAACAGGTTGAACCTGTTTCTGACCTCTGTTACACTATAACTCCCCACCCTCATATGACACAATCCTGTTCTATCATGATTATGACTCCACTTTCTTCCACCAAGCCCCAGCAGTCAGCAATATAGGACTTTTTCCACAGAAGACCTGTTTAACACCATATTGAGTGAGTTTGTGATCATGTAGCTGATCATGTTTTATCCTGTCCTGAGTGCTCCTCTTGCTTTCACTATCTCCTACAGGTTTTTTTTATGTGTTTTGTTATGGTTGTATACTCTTGCAGCAGCAGCAGCAGAGTAGTGCAGTCAGTAAAGAGAATGCAAGTGCAAGCATTGTGTGAGGCAGCATGCTGAAGTGTCCATGAACAAGACACTGAGCAGGCTGTCTATGCAGCTGATCTTATAGTGGTAAATTATAAAACTGCTTACAGTGAAGCAGACTTTGAAAAGGTAAAAAATTGCTAAAAGGCTACAGTGTCCTACAATGAAAAGAGAAGAGAGACGTTACATCCTCTTGATTTTGAGTTGTGGCTGGCTTGCAGGCTGTTTGAGTGACACGTTCTCCACACAGCACAACACTACATCACCCAGGGGATGCCTGTGGCAGAGCTGCAGCCCCGGCTCTGCAGTGTGTTTCGGGCAGCTGGAGTCAGGTGAGGGATGGTTGTCAGGTGAGCGGCACACTGGGCCAAGCCTCGGTCTCACAGTGTGGCGCTGTGTATTGCAGCTGGCCAAAAGACAGACTGTGAGCCCTGGCTGTCAACATCTGCTCCAGAGACTGTACCATCTGCCCGAAGCCCGGGGGGAGCCTCCCATCCGTCTCAGACCAGCTGCAGAGCCCCAGACGTGGACCTGAGTGGTCTTGCAGAGGCAGAGAACACGGCCAAGACACAGTCAGCGCCGGTGAGCGCTGGGACATTTGTCTCACACACTTAGCCGTGTTTTATCTTTAGGCTGAGATCACAGTGAGGTTTAGATAAACAAACTTCCTGCTCCTGTTGACTAATCTTTTAGTGACAGAGTGAAGGTGCAGCCTACTGGTGTACTGTAGCTTTTGCCACTTAAAGGGACTCCAAAGTCAAATATCCTTTAAAAATCCATGAGTCTGAAATAACCAAGTGTAAAAAGTGCAATATAAAGAAACCAAGGAGAAAAACAAGGACAGATGAGAAAGAATGTGATCAGGTGCAAATACAAAGACATGGAAGGACGTTTGTGTGAAAAACAATACATAACTAGACTAGAACATTTTCCCCCTACTTAATAACTCAACATTGTCATCCCTGTAAGTAAACAATGGGACAGTAGACACAGTAATCAGTACTTCTCAATACGGTTCATTTAGCCAAATATAAGATTAATTATTTCTTAAGTTAATATGTATCTCTTCAAGGGCAGAGCTTTAAGATTTTACAATAAAAGACGAGTCCACAGGGGTTATTGTTAAGACCTTTTATTTCATCAATTTGAAAGAAACAAGTAAAAACAGTGTACAAAGTTTATATTATTTGTTTACTAAAGCTGGTGTCCTCAGTCTCAGGAATATGGGAGGGCAGGTACAAAAACAGTTGAAATAAAAAATAAAAAGTATAAAATGAATTTCCCTATTTTCAGAAGGTGACAGCAAAGGGCGAGCGTGCATAGGAACAAGTAACAATCAGATTCAAAAACTGAACAAAGGTTTGCAAATGATTGAAGTGAAAACAATATCATAAGAACCATTACATTCAATAACGTATGATGTACTTTTGAAAAATGATTATCTGTCATCTTAAAAATTCTGAAGCGTTTCTTTTTTTTTTTTGGGAAACTTTTTAGTACACTTTCAAATAAGAGTTTCAGTTCCCAAGAGTCTCAGTTTAGCCTCAGCTGTCTGTAAAAGGGAAGAAATCATTCAAACAAGCAATTCTTGTTTTATTTGTATCCACAACATTTGAATTTACACTATAAAAGAAGCTAATTTAGTCTTTACCAACCATAAAATACAAATAAGAGTCCAAATACAATCATTTTGGGGCAGCAAAGTGCATATCATTGGCACAGTAAAACTCATTTTTGTCAATGCTGGTCTCATAAATAACTCAGAAGCTTGTGAAGGGACAGAAGTCCCCTAAAGTAGCAAATCAAAGATGTTAATGATGACTTTGTGTTTTTCCCCTGAAGCCCAGTTTGTTTGCAAAGTATTCCTAAAGAAGTGTATTATGTTAAAGTGACCTCATTGAGGCTGCAGTGAATGCACTGGGTGGAAAACACCCAATACTGTACTGTACATGGAGGAAAAACCCAGAGGAGAGAAGAGTTTCTGATGGGTCAGCACTGACTGACTGACCCTGATCAGAGGGAAACCAGGAGGTGTCTGCAGCACAGCATCAAGATAGGAAGGCATCAGGAACTATAAGCACTTACTTCAGGGGGGCTGGAGGAGCTATTTATTATCCTGAACAGGAAACTGGGGGTCTCTCAGTGACTCTGATGTGCAAACAGTTAAGAGGAATCCATTGCAGGACAGCTTTTACCTTAATGATTAAACACGCTGCATTCTTTGCATTTCTGGCATTCCCCATATCAGACTGTATTGCACAATTGATTCATCAGACTCATCACGGTGTAGCGTGATAATACAACAGACCGATTGGTGTCAGTTTTGCATCAGGGTAGTAGAAAGGTGATACAAAGTCCTCTCCAGAAGATGGTCTTAGGAGAATCAGCCATGTGTTACAACACATAAGTATGCAGAAAGATTGACTTTATTTGATACGGTACATTCACTTTTGGAGCCAAAAATGTCTTGAAGTTTGAATGGTATTTGTTTGTAACTGTTCAGAAGTCTAAAGAGAGGAAAACATGGATTTCTAACCCACTCAACAAACAATAAACTCTGCTCACATGATGCTTTTTGGTCCACAGTATGCCTATTTCTATTCGAAATGCTTGACTGATACTTGTATATTTTCAATACAATATGGCCCTTTTCAAAATTCACATCAGTGGCCTAATTTGTGCATAACAAAACTACATTTCCCCATTCATTATGGTGTATGGATGCCTGCTCAGTATACAACATAACAATCAGGAAATGCAGGGTAGTGTTAACTCTCTCTCTGTGGTCAATGTTCAAAAGGCCTCACAGAACAACCACAGTTATCTTTGTTTTGTCTTGAACTTCCTCCTTCCTGGAAAACACAACTTGCAGATTGTACATTTTGCATCCACCAACGGCATCTGCAGACAATGCTGGGGAGGACAGGGGCTGCAGCCCCCGGTCTTTTGAGAGTGCAGTCGGGTGGGGTGAGGGGAGATGGTGGGGACCGGGGGGAATGTATCAGAGTCGTTTAGGCGGTCCCACTGGCAGAGTAGGAGAACTGGGGGAAGTGGGGTCTCCGCTCGCTGTCGAATGACTCCATACTGTCATCTGAGGAGAGAGGGCAAAGAACTGCTTAGGGCTTATGGAGCTTAGAGCTTAGACTATGTATACTGCAAGATAACAAATCTGTCTACTGTCAGAAAAATCACCCCCTTTGATATCAAAGGGGGGTATTTTCAATGTCCAGGATTATTTTATGGCTAAATTAGATTTTAGTTTGATTTTTGCATCAGTGTGATGAAGTCTCTTGATTTGTCTTTTTATGTAATTTAGTGGATTAGAAAAAAACAGGCATTCTTTCCTGGTTGTTTTGTCCATTAACAGTTCCTCAACTGATTTTCCAGAAACAATCACAATATTCCAGTATGTACTGATATATATATTAAACTGGGATTTTGGATATAAATTACATATACAGGAGTGTATATCATCTACTCCTAGCAGAAGTACACATAAAGCTGATCATTCCTACAGCTAGAAGATACAATGTTGCATTGTGATATAAGACTAGATATTGTCTTAAATGATGCTTATTATAACTTTCAGTAAAATGTAGATTTTTCACCTGCATCCTTTGAAAGCTTAAAATGTTCACCTCATGAAATCAAAATATTCTTATAAATAAATAAAATACTATTTTATTTGATTTTGTCAATATCCCCCAGTGCCAATAATCCAATATATTGCCAATCTTACTATTTTTCTAATACTAGGTCATATCTGCATTTACACATTGGCAGTCATTCACATGCATTTGATGACTCTGTGAGCCATGCTACTCTGTTTTAGTGGCACTGACTGTCCAGGAGAGGGGAGACTCCTCTCAGGGGAGCTTTATACGCCTGCAGAATGGTTCCTTTATTTATGAGCTCCCCAAAACTAACTCACACCAAGAATGCCTGTCAAACTTCTTTACAGAGGAAAATACTCAAGATAACCTTTCTGACTAAATTATTTAGTTCTCAAAGTTTCCTGAAAGAGCCTGACAGCTTACATTTTGATGTAACACTGAAAATGAAAGGAGACCGTGACAATCATTTTAGGGTTTTCACATGAAAACTAATTCAATGACCCTGAGCTGCTGCTTTCATCTTGAGTGAATTAAGTCTCATTCTTAAAGTCTCACAGGAGGTGGGGGGAAATTTATCACACAAGTTAGGTGGCAATTCATCTTCTCTCACACAGTCCACACTTTATTTATCTGCCTTATTGTCACATTCAAACACCATAAAGCTCCACAACAGGGAGTCTGTTGATTTGAAGTTACACCACATAGGAAAAGTCGTATGAAGAACACTGTATGCTTGGGAGTGTATGATTTGGTGCTACCTTGTCCGGGTGGCGTAATAGTGATGGTCTGTGCTGTGAACTCCTCGTCGAAATATCGTGTGTCCGTCTCCGAGGTAACTTGGGGCTTAAACGGCGGGACCAGCTGTTGGAAGGGAGAAGAGACACAAACATATCAGCACATCAGCACCATCGATCAGTTTGATAACAGTTGTCGTCCTGATGACAATCTACATCGTTTCTAGACGGTGGCGTTTCAAGTGACATAAACTTCATTTATCCCTGGAAGGAAGAAATGACATTTATCTGAGCTTGGTGTCCTACAACACGACAATCACAAGACAACGAGGGAGATACTAAACAACAAGAACATTTTAGAAACCGACCTTCTTCTCATAAACATCTTGCCATTCAATTCCTGCGAAGAACTTGTGCTGCATGATTTCCTTGGCATCATCGGGCCCTCCGCCTAACCTGCAAGACACAAAAGGACAAATCGGGATGCGTTACAAGAATTAATATGTCAATAAAGATGCAATTTCGATGTCTCCCACTTTGAGATACACTAATGGATGATAGAGAATACAGTGTAGGCTCCTCACCTCTGCATTGGGTCTTTCTTAAGGAGGCCAGAGAGCAGAGAGCGTGCTTCGGGGCCAAGTGTGCGAGGAAAGCGGATGTCTTCCATCAGGATGAGCTCGAACAGCTTCTCGTGGTCCTGGTTGTAGAAAGGCAGTCGGCCGCACATCATCTCGTACATCACCACCCCGAGACCCCACCAGTCCACAGCACGGCCGTAATCGTTGTCTTCTAGCACCTTCGGGATAAGGAGGAGGGGGGAGTAAAAGGATAATTAATGCAGCTGTTGGGATGCACATACAGCATGAACAGCTAATTTAGTATGTAGGTATATAGACAACAACACTACAGTCTTATAATATAGAAAAACATAAATGTAAACATCTTTTTTCACAGAATATTTGCTAAAGAACAAGTTCAGTTGCTATGATTTTGTAGCTACAAAATAGGCCAATAAGGTTGTGTTTGGACATCAGAGGGTTGTGAAGACAGCAGCTCTTTAGGTTGAATATACAAACCCTAAAGCAACTGGGTTGTCCCCATCACCCCACCCCCACCAAAATCACCTGCTCTCCCCCCTGGTCTGGGCTTCTGAGGCCACCACAGCCAATACTGACTCACATCTCACATTAGGAGCAAGGATAGAGTTTCCCCTGGAGCCCTGCATATTTAATCACCACAGGGCCTTCCACACATACACAAACACACATACAGATCAACAAGCAGCAGAGGTGTAGCTCGCTTAAATAAGCAAATGTGTTGCAACAAACACGAACCAGTCTCACAAACAAACCGCTCAATGAACTCAACCAGAGTTACAGAGAGGGAAATATTTTTTTATTTTATTTCCATAGGATGACTTTTTTCGACAGTTCTTAATGACACAAACTCCTCCAGTGTTGTGCTTACAAAACAGTGCGACCTGTTGCATGACTAATGTGCTGCTGAGCAGAGTTGTTCCAAGGTCTCAGGGGACATGTACTGGATTCTACCTCGCCAGGCGGATGTTGAAGGTGAAATCAAGGCAATGAGAACAGTCTGTTCTCTTAAACCTCAAGCACGGTGATGCTAGGCAATTCAGGCCTAAGAATAGAAACTTAGGTAAAAAGACGTGGCCAGATTAATAGAATTAGATATGGACACAACAGTGCCCAGACCGAGAGAGGGTCCTGGAAAACAGATGGACGGATGTGTCCGTAAAAGGAACAAAACTACTGCATGTGTGTGCACGTGCACGCAGCTGCGCATGTGTCTGTGGGCACTCCGCCTGGCGCTGCGGTGAGTGGTGAGCATCGAGGAGGAGGATTGGGAGGGCAGGGGGAGTAACGTGAAGCCGGTGTGGGGCTAGGATTACTGGGCCGTCTCTATTTCCAGCGCTGCTGTCGTGTGATTCACACCGTGCGACAGCTGGGCCCGCAGCTGCCCCATATATGTAGAAGAGCGCCACAGCTGTGAAGCTGCCAGGAGCGCAGGAGCCAAGCTCATCCCTCATATACGTAACCAGGACTGCTTGCTTGCCTGCCTGCCTGCTTGGGCCTCAGCCCTAAACTAATACTGTTACACTGCCCCAAAGGAGCAGAGACAGGGGGAGGAGAGAGTGAGGAGAGAGAGAGGGGATAAAAGCACAAACACTTGCTGCTGCTCCAGAGCCCCACTTGGTATACTTCTTTTGCTCACAAAGTTCTGCACTGACAGCCATTAATCTTCCAATCTCGTGAATCCTGATCAGTTTCAGTGGCTAGATTAAACCTGGCCACATTTTTCTTTGTAGATATTCCCTAAAAGCTAATTCCCTTAGCCAATAATGGTTTTCTTCTTTCAACTACTTAATAAAAGTGACAAAGTGAATTTGTCCCACTCTGTACTCTAGAGAGAAACTGGTCAGGCTTTTGAAGATTGGGTCTCTACTCCCTCTCCCTCTCCCTCTCCCT